CTTTTTTGCGTAATAATCAAGTCTCCTTTGATCATATAAGAATATGATCTTCTCCCCCTGTGTTCCATCAGTCACAACATCTTTTTCAACCATTCATTGGCATCCCTAGTTTTACCACTATGGTTAAAGGTGAATCAGAAAGTAGAAAGTTTGAGATATGTAGAACAGGACATACAAGGTAAGTTTTCTTTTTTAGAAGAAAAATGGCTTAGTCAATTACTCATTCTAGTTCCTTCATACTAGAGGAAATACAATATAATATACTGTATTTTGCACTTCATGGTTAGAAGTCTAGTGTTAAATCCTCACTAATGCTTCTAAACTGAAAGGCACCAAGCAAATCAAGTAATTCCTTTTGAGCCCTGGAATATTTAAAAGTTATAATAATAAACATTCCTGAAAATTCTGGCTTGCATGATGAGGATAGTGGTTGTAGATTTTTACAGTTTTGCCAGTTGAAACCCAGGGAATGGTTATAATGGCCCAAAACTTTACCTCCAAGCTATACATTCTCCTCTTCTCGAAAGGAGCCCTACTGTTAGGGCTTTTATCTAGATGTCTCCTGAAGCCTCATGCAGTCAGAGGTAAGGCTTTTTGGAGGTGGCTGGATCTAGGGTGTGTGGGATTAGATTAGGCCGCTAATTGATTTATCATAATTCTGCATGTGGTTAATAAGAAATTTTACCCTAGACGTGAGTAGCACCATCTAAAAGGCTCATAGCATGGATGGATAAAAAGGAAAGGGAGTCTTGCTGCTGCTCTTGCCATGGATTGTCACTGCCATGTCCCTGTGCCTTGCTGCCCTGTCTTGCAGCCAACCAACTATAGAGTGAAACCTCTACAAACTGAGCTGAAACAAACCTTTCCTCCTTTAACTTGTAAGTCTTAGGTATTTTGTCCCAGTAGCAAAGAAATAACTAAGACAGATTTTTGTACTGGCAGTCTGTTTTCTTTTTCTCATTGCTGGAACAAAAATACCTGATAACCAAAGTTAAAGAAGAAATTTATTTCAGCTCACAATTTGTAGTGGTTTCAGGCCATAGTCATCTGTTTCCAAGGCAAGGCAGCATGGTAAAGAGGCATCTCCGAGGAGAAACAGCCCATAATGGGCAAGCAGAAGGTAGGAAGCAGCAAACAGCAAACATGCATTTTCCTTTTATTCCATCCAGCTTGCAAGGTTTTGGGGTAGTGCCACTCATACCAAGGGTGGGGCTTCTGTTCTCGGTAAATTCATTCAACCACACCTAGCACTATGCTAATTCTAATTAGTGGACTAATTTAATACCACACACCCTTAATCCCACACTGTAGATCCAAAAAACCTCCCCCATGACCACATGAAGCTTGAAGTGGACAGTTATCTACTTGATATCTCTTTTTGGGTGTTTCATTTATGGTTGCTCCTTTGAGCTTGTTCTCACAGACCATTAAAGCCCAATACTTGGATAAAGAGGATGACTTGGAAGAATCATTGAAGCTTTAAGTTCCTGGTAAATACTGTGGCTTTTCCTTTCCTTATATGTCCAGTTTTTCTCCAAGTTAGATGAGTAAAGTTCCAAAAGATTCAACAAGAGAAATGAGATGACTGTACGAAGGAGACAGGTAGCTCTTCCACGGGCAGATTCATTAACCTGAATGGGAGGCGAGAGACTTGGAGACAAGTAGTTGGCCAGGGGTGGACTGAAGAGAAACAGCCCACATGTCCATCATTTGGTATGGCAAGGGTGTGTAAATTTCTGATGGTTTGATTAATGCTGGTTTGAATCATCGTAACACTTAAGGGAGAAGAACAGGTTACCAACAAGAGCTACATAAACTCCTGTGGAAGGAAACTGAGAAATTAGGAGAAGGCTAACACTGTTGCATCCGCCATGTTGAGCAAGAGATTGTGCTATGGGAAATTGCCTCTATTTGTGGAGAACTCAGTGTACCTTATTAAAGAACGAGCATTTAGATGTGATGTGGATATACAATTGAGAGAAATGTCCCTGTTGTCTTCCCTGTCCCCAGTACCACAGGGATGGGCCCAGAAAGGACTGATAAAATTGGTTGAAAACAAACCCCACCTTTCATTTTCAGAGTTCCTTGAGTCACAAGTTCAGCCAGAGAATGTTTAGCTTGGAACTAAGAGTGGAATTTCAAACTGGTTAGATTTAATAATCCCCAGAGCGGTGTAAGAGCTAAAGAACAAGCTAAAACCAACTTTGAGGGATTTGGTGCCTGGTGCTTCTCAAATTTTCGTTTGCATGCCAGTCACCTGGGGATCTCATTAAGGTGAAATTCCTCTGTCTGGGATAGGGCCAGAGGTTATACATTTCTGTCAAGCTCCCTGGAAACGGCAGCTGATTCCAGGACCACACAAAACACCGTGAAGGGAGTTTCAAAACAACACAGTTGGCAAGGCAAATATTAATTGAAGTCTATGAGGTATACTTTTTTGTGTGTCAAAAATGGTTGAATGTCAATTTAAAAATTCATCTCCACCCTTCAAATAATACATTCAGTAAAATGAAAAGTTACTGAATAGTGATTTTCCCACATTCTGATAAAGTCATATCCTCCTAAAATGAGAATGTATAAATAAAGCAATGTGTGAAGCAGTGGTGACCTGTGATGGCAGGCATGAGGCCTTGTTTTGAGAGTCTGTATGCATTTTGTGTAAGAGCAGGGTTGGAATCACAGCCAGACAGTTCTAATGTATAATCTTATGATTTTTGTCACCAGCTAGTGTGTGTCTTTACTGAATATGGAAATTAAAGCAACAACATAAATTTACAGGCCAAAGCTTTCACTGGAAAGTAAGAAAAAGATAAGTGATTTTGGCTTGAGGAGCTGATAGAGACCAAGCCAGTGTCCTGACATAGAAAAGACAGGCAAAGGACTCCAACTTGAGAGACACACTGTGACAAACAGGATCAAATTGGCCTTACAAAAGGGAGAGCAGTTTTATGGGATGCTGTGGTGGGTTGAGTTTCAGTTGATTATCTCAGTTTGGAGGAATCATTTGAGGGACTGTTCAATTCCCCATAGCTGAAGCATCAAGACTTACGGGCAATTTCAGTAATGTGAACCTGTGCTGGACTTCAGGGTGACCATAAGTTTTAGGGCAGTGAAGATTTTTGGGCAAAGCTGTATCCTTGTGAACCTCTTAACCTGATGAGGTAGGCTAGGTAAATTCAGAATGAACCTTGTTTTTTGAACTTCTAAGCAAATTCCCTAAATGACTAGCATTCTATATGCAGAGCTAAAAATGACTTGATCTAGAGTTTAATGAAGTAAAGGTCAAGCTTTGTTCTGCATTTAGTTACCTTTTAGGCATCTGTACACCCAAGTAAAGAGTCACAGTTTTTAGCACAACCTACTTTTATGTCTCTTGACAACTTCAGAAGAAAACACAAACCGTGCTTTCAATGAGAAATAGATTAAGGGCCCAGGAGTTTGTCCTCTTTTCTTATGGTTGTCTCTGTTGTCCAAATGTGAAAACAGAGTTCTACAGAACTCTGTTTGTTGATAAAAATTTAACTGTCACTTAATAGATCTGAGTGCAGAGGGAAATAAGTATTTTCTATTTCAACTAACTTGTTAATTTTAACTTCTAAAAGTTAAGTAAATACATATTTACCAAAAAAGAAAGAAAGAGAAAAATTACACTTAGAGGTTTTGTGTTTGGTTATAATTTGAGAACAAAATAATGTTCTTGTTTATGTGCGTTAGAGTTAAATTGTAATTTTATGATAATATGGCTCTACCATTCACTTGACAACTTTTATACTGGATAAGAATTTATCCATCCATTTCTTAAGGAATTTAGGGATTGGATCAATAGAATCAGGTAGCTACTCCTCTGACATGATTTTACATTTTCTAGTAAACTATTACTTAAATCTGCATTTAACTTTCTACTTTACAGTTCTCTGCAGCCTGTAAGATTCCTTAGCCCACCAGTAGTAACAGAGCCTTTTGTTGATTCCATGTTAAACAGCCTCCTTTCCCAACAATTTATTTTTGTAATTAAAGCATTTAAACTTAGTCTAGATTCTCCACGGCATCAGTGAGCATTTATATTCAGAATTATGGGTCATCAATATGAACCAAATAGAAAATGTATTACTGAACTTGTTATGTGAAGGATTTACCAATCTTTCCTCTATTAAATGATGTTCATTGTCATACCAAGATGAAATACCCTGCAGGTCTTCTGCAGTGTCCTAAAATTCTGTTTTCTCATGAGAAAGTCTGTGATTACCATTAAAAACATAGGTTAGTCTTGGTATCTTTTTCTTCCCTCTCAAGATTTAGAAACTTACATGTCATACTCTTTTTTTTTTTTTTTTTTTTTTTTTTTTGTCTTTTTCGTTTTTATCGGTACCAGGGATTGAACTCACAATTGCCTGCTTGCAAGGCAGGCACTTATGCCGCTGAGCTAAATCCCCAGCCCCTACATGTCATACTCTTCTAATAATTCTACAGTTTATTAGTGACAAAACTTAGTAACTTTCTACCTTAATAGAACCATTCAAAGCAATGATAGGAATATTTTTATGTACTTTTATGTACTTTTTAGAATCTTTAGAATATATTATTAAGTTCATGCTTTGAAGAAAAAGCAAATGGTAAATAATGTAAGAATCTTTACTTAAGGTCCCTAAATAATAGAATTAAAGATGTGTTGACTTAAAATTTCTTGGTTCTGTCATTATTTTCTTTCATAAATCTCTTAGGAAGTGAGACAACAATACAGATAACTTACAATATTTGTGTTTTTGTCCAACATGGGTTAGACAAAGAATGAATCACAAGAGAATTACAAGGAATAGAAATTCTGCTTTTGTCAAGACGCAATGAATATTTTGAAATACGTGAAAAATTTTCTAATGACTATAATTAAATAGAATTAAGTTTATAATTCTAGTGTAGAAATGAAAATCTATAAATGTCTTGATGTCTGATTATGAAATCATTAAATACAACATTGAGTATGCATATATTTTAAAGCTATTTATTGAATATTTCTACTTGTTATCATTATCACTGTTGGAACTATCACTGTCATTATAAATGGAGGTGTTTCTAATTGAAGATACCATCATATCTTCAATGCTTGTGTTGGGATTTTCCTCCAGATCAGTCTGTACTGCTCCAACTTCTGCTAGTTTCCATTCAAGTTCTGCAATAGATAACCCATCATAAAGCTGCATAAAGATCTTGAAAAAATTCAAAGAGAAATTTATCATCTATATGGCACAAGTTGACACTAATAAAAATAATGTAGAAATGAAGGTATTTGAAACTGAATGACAGTGAAAGTATTACAGTATCAGAATACATATTGAATACAGCAAAGTTAGATGAAATTGTGGTTAAATTATTTTTAAATGAGTGAAAATAAATGGTTTAAAACTTCAAGTCAAGAAGATAAGGATAATGAAGCAGAAAGAGAGGTAAAATGAAGAAAATTCCTTAAACACATTCCAAGCAGAAATGTTCACAGAAAGGGAAAGAAACCACATAAGATAAAGAATTTACATTGGACATAACCAAACAATAACAAGATACCATTTCTTACCCATTATCTTAAGGATAACACGTGCACACAAACACACACAACTAACGTTAAGATCTGGTAAAGATGTAAATTAGTGGGAACACCATACAAACAATTTTAAAAGCCTTGGGACTACTGTGGGAGGGAAAGCAAACAAACATACCAGTACATCTGAAAACTTTAGTGGGAGAATTTCAAGAAAATATGAATTAAAATATACCTGTTAGCTGGGTATGGTGGTGCACACCTGTAATCCCAAGCACTTAGGAGGCTAAGGCAGGAGGATTACCACGAGCTTGAAGCCAGCCTGAACTGCCTAGTGAGACCCTGTCTCAAGAAAACTAAAATCTGTTAACTTTGTATCGCTGTGATAAAATATCTGACAAAATCCGTTTAAAAGGAGAAAAGGTATATTTCAGCTGTTTTGGGGCTTGAGGTGAAGCAGTAATGGTAGGAGAGTGTGGTGGAGAAAAACTTACCTCGTGGCAACTGGGGAGCAGAGAGAACCAGAGAGGAAGGGCTGGGGCAAGTCATGGCCTGGGTCTCACTCGTTTCCTTCACTTAGACCCTGCCCATTACCTCCCAATAATGCCATCGATTTGTGAGCGGGTTAGTCCACTGATTAGAGCCCTCAGGCCCAGTTGCTTTTCAAAAACCCCAACTCTGAACACGTGGCCTTTGGGTGAAATTTTTAGATCCGATCTAAGAATGTCCAAGAAGGGGCTGGAGATTTAGCTCAGCGGCATAAGCGCCTGCCTTGCAAGCAGGCAGTCGTGAGTTCGATCCCCAGTACCGATAAAAAGGAAAAAGACAAAAAAAAAAAAAAAAGAAAAGAAAAAAGAACGTCCAAGAAAGAAAGCCCAATATCCAAAAAGTTGATATCCCCAAGTCCCACATCTTCACAGATGAATTTGAGACCATTCTAAGCTGCATAGCAAAAACTTTGTCTTAAAAAATTATGTATATATGTGTGTGTGTGTGTGTGTGTGTGTGTGTGTGTGTGTGTAAAATTAATGGACAGTAACACTTCTCCAAGAACTAATCTATAAATTTAATTCTAATAAATATTTAGCAGGGTTTTTACATGAAATTCTGAAAAAGACTTACTAGAGATGTTGTAAAGCTGGAATAATTACACAATGTTGTATGAGTGTAGAGCTAAACAAAAAGACCAGTAGAATATAAAACAGGCTTCAGAAACATTCAAGCATTTTTAAACTGTCAAAGTGATGCAGTAAACATTAAAGCCCACTAGAATGATAGTAAAAACAAATTTTGGCAAATGTGTGAAGAGATGGGACTCTTACGCACATGTGACCAGAGAATAAAGTAGCACTGCTGTTATGGAAAGCATGGCAATTCCATAAAAGAATTACCACTTCTCAGAGAGTCCTCGTCTTAGTATATTGCCAGGAGAGTGACGACAAGGACATACTCTACACTCACGTTCATGGCAGCATTATCCACAATAGCCAAAGGATGGAAGCACCCAAGTATCTATTGACAGATGAATGCATGCACAACAGTTAGATTTTTAACCTTAGAAAGGAAGATGAGAATACATGCTACACCTTGAAGAAAACTTAAAGGTATTATGCAAAGTGAAAAGTCACAAAATGGCAAATGTATGATTCCAATTATGAGATACCTAGAGTACTCAAATTCTGAAGGACAAAAGTAGAGGAGTATTTGTGGGACTAAGGGATAGCGGGATTGGGGAGTTTAGTAAGTGTAGTTACAGTTCTACAAGAAGAAAAGAAATGAGACTGTTAGCGCAATATGAATTTACCTAAGCCAACTAAACTACATACTTTTAAATGGTTAAGATGATAAATTTTTATGTTTTATGTATTTTACCAGTTAAATAGATTTCAAAAATATCTGTGGGAAATGAAAATTTCGTAAGTGCGGTTGAAAAAACTGCATTTTTAAGAGAAAAAAATGAAATCAGATACATTTCTTATGTCCTACTAATGTTAAGACCTAAGTTTAAAAAAAAAACTTTAAAACTATTTAAGAAAGTATAGAGAATTATCTTTTTCACATTAGAAGTACAGAAATGTTTTAAAAGTAAAGCACAAAAAGTGTGAAAGGTAAAGATTAATACTTTTGACTATGTCATAACTTTCGTGTGAAATGAAGCTAGGTTTCACGGTGCATGTGTGTATTAGGGGGACTGAGGCAGGAAGACTGCATGAATCCAGGAATTTGAGTTTTAAAATCTTTCCCTGTCTCAAAAAAAAGTACAAACTTAGATTGGGAATATAGCTCAGTTATAAAGCATATTTAGTATTTTAGGTCCTGGATTTGATCTCCAGCAACACACACACACACACACCACTGAAATGATAAGGTACTGTGTCACTATGGAGAATATATAAGCAAAACTATAAAAGCAGTACCCAAAACACGTGTATATGTACACACGTATATACATAAATACTCTTGTACATGCATTCTAAAATCAGTGAAATAACTGAAAAATGAACAAAACATAAATAATTAGGAGAGGACAGTACAATGATCAATACATATTTAGAAATGCTAACTCCACTAATAAACAAACTTAATAACATACCATTTCGTAGCCATCAACTTGACAAAAATTATATAAAACCTAGTGAAAATGTAACTGGAAAATATCATAGATGGCTAATGAGAGGATAAATTGGTACTATCATTTATAGGGCAATTTGTTACCTATTTAGTGTGTTTGAAAATAGGTAAGCTCTAAGACCCCACAATTCCCCATAAGTCCTTGAGAAATTTCCAGAAGTGGCACAAATATAGTAACAGCAAAATATTTTGTAAAGGGAAAATGAAAACAACTCACATTTCTATCAGTAGGAGAATAAGTAAGCTGAGGTACATCTGATAATACAATAAAATGAAGAAAGAACAGATACACGCTAAATTTATGATAATGTTTGCTTCTAAGGGAACACAGTAAAGAACAGGACTGAGAATACAGATGCAGGTAACTTGAGCTATATTTACAATATTTTTTCAAATGTAAACAGATACACATGAACAAATGCTCATCTCAGTTTTTTTCCCAGTGCTGGTGATCACTGCTACCCAAGTGTTCTACCAGTGAGCCACACCCTCAAACGCCACATTTTTTGACAACTGCTGTAGTCTTAAATGCTTGTGTACCTCAAAATTCATGCACTGAAGTCCTAACTCCAAGATGATAGTATCAAGAAGTAGGCCTTTGAGAAACTTATTAGATTATGAAGGTGGAGCTCTAATGAGTGGGATTAGTGCCCTTAAAAAAGAGGCCAAAGAGAACTTGTTTGCTCCTCCTGCCAAGAGAGAACATGGAAGAAGTCACTAAGGAACAGACCTTCACCAGACACTGAATTCACTATGGCTTTCAACCTGGACTTCTTTGCCTCTGGAACTGTGAGAAACAGATGCTTTTTGTTTATACCCATCTAGTTTATGGTATTTTTGTAATAGCAGCCAAACAATAAGACAATAGTTACTTCATGTAACTACATGTGTAAAACCACAATTTCTTGTACTCCCTTGTATTAATTTTTAACTTTAAAAAATGAGGTTCAAGCTAGAAAAACAAGGTAGTGAACCAAGGAGGGGCCTTAAAGACTAAAAAAAAAGAAAAGGCACATTGGAACCAACTGTTCTAGTCCTAATACAGCCACACATTTTTAGGGTATTGACAGAAGGAAAGAATAACTCTTTAAAACAACCTTTCATTATGGCCTTAGCATGATGATAAGATAAAAAGATTCTCAGTTTCATAGGATAAATAGTCTTTAAAAATGAATAAACCAAACATTTAGAAACTAAAAGTCGTTACATAACTAAAAATATATAGCCTTGGCTGTGTGCTATGAAAAAGCAAATAATAGAAGATGTGTCCCCAGCACTTGTTAGGAAATTGAGATGCAAGGGGAAATGAATCAATAAAATGGGAATGGCATTCAAATAAGTAAAAATGGGTGGTACACACACTATATTTTACAGAAATTCAGTGGAGAAAATGAAGATGTTATTAATTAGTCCAGAATTACAAAACAGGACAAGAGGAAGACACAGGAATAGGGTTTGGACAGGGAGAATGAAGACTGTCACAGAATTTTAGGTACAAGATTTCCAGTTTTAGGTTAAAAAAATGAATAAGCCAAAAATTTATGACAAGAATACTATCTTGGGAAAATTATTCTGGAGGCATTCAAAAAAGAATAGAAGCAAGGAAAAAAACTTTCTTTTTTAAGGAAATAAACTTTCCTGATGCTTATCAAACCACAGAAATCTTCACCTCTTATTTCTATAAATAAATTTTTTAAAAAAATTACCGTCCAGCTTGAGATTTATCCCTCCACATTCTATAATTCCAATGAATTTGCCTTCTATCTGGCCATTCTTGTAAATAAAAATTGTTGGTAAACAATTATCATGGTAGTGTTGAATACAGCTATCCACAATGGCTTTAACAAATTTAGTTATTGGGAACTTTCTTGCGAGGAGACTAAGATGCTGGTTAACCAACAAACACATTGGGATGCTGAAAAGGAAAACACATAACATTTTAAAAACCGGCTACTCTCGTGGGTCTAACAAGTGAAACATCTCCAGAGCAGTTACATGTCTCAAGTTTTTACATAAAGGCGTATCCCCATCATCCACCATTACCTTTAGCAATGATAAACTCTATGCACAATCCTCTGGTTCTTATTGGAAATGCCACTATAACCTAGAAATATTTTGGGAGTCGAATGCCTAACTTAGACAAACTATATTCAACTTCCTGTCGATTTAAGTCAATGTAGTTTCCAGTAGGTAGGACACAGAATAAAACAAAACAAAGTGGCATAGTTCCAAGAAATTTCTGAGTCTTTAGTTGAAATGCAGTGCATAGGTTTATTTCCATGTGAGATTATCATATCCAAATTTCCTCATCTCAAATTTCCTTGACTTTCTTGACCCTAAAGGAACTTCAACCTCGTCTTCTTAAGCATTCCATTCCATACCACCTCCTGGTCCCCATTCTCCAGAATTATTTCTCATCAGAAATTTAAAATTGTTTGTAAGTATGACTAAAACCTCCAAGTTTTCTTGCTTAATCACTGAACTGCCATTATACCATTCTCCAACTTGTCCCCTTTCTCCAGGGTGTGTCCCTCAAGGCATCAGACGGTTGCAGGGTAATCCTACCATCTCTGCTTCACTGCACACCCCTTCCATGTCCTGTGCACTCAGTCGTTCTGCTTCCCTCTTCTATTTTCTCATTGCTCCTACTGCAAAAACTCGTTTCCCACTGTAACCATATTTAAGTTAATAAATCTTAGAAAGTTTTTTTAGACACTTACAATCCTTTCTCCCCTCCTAATAACTGTTCTCTTTCCTTCTAATATCAGCTCTTTTTCATTGCCTCCATTTCTGAGATGTTCTCCTCTTTTCATTTCTGTAATAGCACTTTCTATTAATTTCCTTTTTACCTGTGACTTTCTTCTGTCTTTGTCCCTTATAATTATATCCTGGACACTAGTCTTATTCCAAATGCATTCACTGGACAATCCTAACCATCCTGACGTCAACAGCTGGTAGACTTCATCTCCTTTCTTCCCCATCCAAAAAAAAAAAAAACCCACCTAATCTATATTTTATTAGGTTGGCTTTCAGGCCAAAAATTTCCATTTCTTCCACAAGAAGATTGTCTGATTAGTGATCAAGTCACAACTGACTCCATCTCCTCATTTTGTATCCATCTCAACCCTTTGCTTTACTCTTTTCCTCTCTTATCTGAACTACCTTGGGTTACACTAAATCTGTTTCCAGGCTCATTGTCTATATTGACCCTTCACCTGAATACAAAAGCAGCTCACCATGAAAATCTCATTGTGTAATTCTGAGATTTCCGACGTTCAAAATTCTTTAGTGGCTCCTCACTGCCTTTAAGAAGTCTGGACTCTGCAGTGGGGCTTTCAAGGGTCTCATACCCTGGCCCCTGCCTGCCTTTCTTTTTTTTTGTCTTTTTCCTTTTTATCGGTACCGGGGATCGAACTCATGACTTCCTGCTTGCAAGGCAGGTGCTTACGCCACTGAGCTAAATCTCCAGCCCCACTGCCTACCTTTCTAATAGTATTCTCTGCTTGACGCCTTATTGCACCATGTGCCTGGGGTAAGTCAAATTATGTAAAGCCTTCCAAAGCACCAGACATCTTGGATTTCTGTGCTTTTGTTCAAGATGCATACTCCTTCTAAAATAACCCTTTCATTCTGTAACCTGAAACTTGGGGAATTCATTCTTTTTTTTAAATCCAAAATCAAGAGTCAGTTACCATAAGAACTTTCCATACTTCATTGTCCAAAGGCAGAATTTAATTATTCTGTCTCTCCTTTATTCTACTCTGTGGACTTCAACAATAACACCTAAAATACTGTATTACTGTATTTTCTCCCTCTATTGTATTAAAATGTATGTAATAGAAAAGACAGATGCTTTGACTTTGCATTCTCAGCATCAGTGAAATTCTTAGAAACTTTCCTAGTTTTAGGTAATGTGATATATCTGTTTATGGAGGAAAAAACTTAAAAAGACAAACTATAGGCTTAGAGATGGTGTTGAAAGTTCAAAATGTGAATTGGGGAATATTAATGATATAAATGTAAGACAAGGGCCAGGGATACATATAGCTCAGTGGCACAAGCACCTGCCTGGCAAGCCCAAAGTTCTGAGTTCAGTTGCTGGTACAAAAACAAACAAACAAAAAAAAAACCAGTAACAAAACTGGCATCAAGCTGAGCTATTAGGCTTCCTGTCTCAGCGTAAGTTAGATCACTGTAAGGATCTTAAGCTGACTGAGCCTTCATCTGGGTAAAACATAGGCCCAATTCTATACAGTTAATGGTGAAGACTTTAGGAACCTAGTGAAAAGCAGACTCTTACCTTCCTATAAAATTCATAGGAGGTAACAAGAAACCCAAATCTGTTTAACAGTTATATTTTATTTTATGATATTTAAAGTTATTAATAAATCCATTGTAAAAAAAAACTAGGCATCTCGAGGTTGGGAATATAGCTCAGAGGTAGAATGCTTAACCCAGTATGTGCAAAGCCCTAGGTCTGATCCCCAGCATAGCAAAACAACTTGGACAATTTAGTGACTTAGTGAGATCTGGTTTAATAAATAAACGAATAAATACGGCTGGGAGTGTGGACAAGTGCAAGGGTCCTGCTTCAATCCCCACTACAAAAACCAAAACCCTCTGACTCTTTAAAGACTATTTTTTAAAAAATAATCATTTTCTGTTATGTTTTATGAATTTGGATTATTATGGATGGATTTTCTTAAAATATATGTTACATGCCAATGTGTGATAAGTACTCTAACACTGAATTGTATCGCATCCCCAAATGTGTTTCCTTAATGTTGAGAAAACTAATAATTCATATAATGATTTTAAATCGGCACTAGAAAACCTTAAGTCACAAATATTTAAAATACTATGAACCTACATTCTTTTTGAAGAATAGCAAAGCGTATGATATTTTGAAGCACATAGAAACACACTTTAACCTTTACAAGTTTTGAAAATTATTTGTCAAAATTAGCAATTTATTTGGAAATAACTTTTAAAGGAAAAAAATGTATTTACTTTAATGCGCATTCAGAAGCAGCATTCATTCTGCTAATCATCAAGGGCCAGAAAAGGCATTCAGTAAACCACTTCGGTATATAAATTTTACTACAAATAGACCCCAGATTTGCAGGTATCAGTGTTTCTCATCCTTATTTGTGAGAATTCCCTGGAGCATTAACAAATTGTTTTACTCAATAAGTGGGACATTTAAAATGATAGGGTAATGATTTTTAAGACTTTAAAACTCTTTAAAAATTTACCTAACAATAGTTTTAGTTAACGATAAAAGTAATGTTTACTTTTATGGAGCATGTCCTATTGTAATTTGAGAAACTGGTGAGCTGATAAATTGCAGGACTATAATTTGCACAAATTCCTCTGAATGTCTCTAAGAATCTGGAGAAGAAAATTATTATTTATAGATTAAGCTAAAGATAAGTTGGACTATTGTTGTGGCCTCTGTCTACAGAATGTCAGCAGCCCTGAGGCTCAGGGCCGGGAACCTAAAACAACCGGATTCTTCCAATCAGAGAATGAGATTAGGAGAAAAGGCTACTGTTCCCAGACTTTACTGTACCAGGCTGATAAGGAAAGGGACATTTGTACATTAGTACAATGGAGCATTTTAAATTAGCTTTTTGTATTTTTTCAAATGACAATATAAAAATAGTAGCAATGAGATATTTATGGCAAAATGATCATCGTTGAGTCTATGCTGTAGATACAGTGCTTAATTTATCATTCTCTCCTCTTCTGTATCTTTAATATTTTCCATTATAAAAAGCTTTTTAAACTAACTACAGAACACTTATTTTTCTAGGAAATGAAATGAGCTTTTCAAACTAGAAATAAAAATATTTTTAAATATATAATTTAATCCCTGAAGCCAGTATCTATTAAAACTCTATAGATATATTTACATATGTGGAGCATATATATCTTTTTCTTTTTGTTATATGCATTATAGAATGTTAAATTTAAAACTGTCTTTTAAAACATTAGTACATTAATTTTGAAATGTCATGGTACTTACCTTGATCTATACAGATGAATTACAACCCACACATCTTTTTCTGCATTTGTGACTTCATTCACATACTGATTTCCAGAAATTTCTCTTAATTCCCCAAATTTTTGTTTTCTCTTAAGTACTTTCCATTCCTGTAGCCGCTTTTCTCTAATTGAAAAGAAAACTTAAATTACTTAAGGAAATTGTCATATTCTTAAACTCATTTTCATGCACAGCAATAATTTAGGGCAAGGAACATAACGCCTGTTCATATCAAGCATCTTAAGTGATAGGATAACCATCAGTGATCCTGTAAAGCCAATTTATCTTACATTGGAATTTGTGTTATGATGGATATTACAAAGTATAAAAAGTTTACTATTGACTTTTACATTTGTTTTTATTTATCATTAGGTTATTTAGACATTAGGCCTACCAATTCTCATACACAGGCTAAATATTTTATAAGACAGAAAACCTAGATAATAGCTAACATTTATTGAGTGTTTATTATTTGCTGAGAAAACTATTATTTTAAGTACATTACACTGACTAATTTAATCCTTTCAAAAACTTTGTGAAGTTCATATTATTATTCTCACCATGTTTATAACCATAGCATGCTAAGCTGATCTTTAGTCAAAAGTCTTCGTGAATATATCTAATTACTTGTTAAAAACTAATTTTATTACCGGAAACAAGATAGCAGAAGAGTAATTAAGAGCTTGGACTCTAAGACAGATAAACTGGGTTTAAATGCCAGCTCCAGCATTTAATAGTAGCATGAACTTGGGCAGGTTTTTTAATCTTCCTCAACTCCAGTCTCTCTAACTGTACATAAGAACATTAATACCTACTCTTACAGAGGATTGCTGGGGATTAAGTGAGATTATATATGCAAATTTCTTAGCATGGCGTCTGGCCCCCATGAGAATTCCATAACATTTACCCATTTTGTTAAACAACTTTCAGAATTTTTGTACTCTGGAGGTTAATCTGTTTAATGTTTGGATTTATGCAGCAAACCCAAATGGTTTCTGATACTTCCTGAAGCTCCTTAACATATTGATTTTATATCCCTCAATTTGCCTGGGGACTTACTCTGCTTTCTCTGTGTGTTAACTATATTTTCTTACTTTTTGGCATTTAAAGCCTTGCCAGTTCTCTAGCCACAGTGCCTATCTCAGGGAAACTTAATTCTAAGGAAGAATACACACTGAACTAGAGAACAAGTTTTCAAATGCAGACCAAATAGTGCAGAGCACATGCTCTCCATCATCTTCTCTCTCAAGCTAAGCCATTCCCTTGTTGCCCTGTCACCTCAGGGCCTGAACCAGAAAGAGTTCCAGCAGCCCAGCGCCCAACATCATTGCCCTACTCTGTCCTTAGCCTGCTTACCCTTCTTGTGCAGTCTTTTCTGTTGAAGCTCCAATAAAGGCTCATGCCTAAGCTTTTATCTTGCTTCCCATGCCTCTCTCTTCTGGGGATGGAACCCAGGGCTTCATGCATGCAAGGAAAGATCTCTGCTTCCGAGCCACATCCCCAGCCCCCAAACCATCCTTTGAATGGCAATTCCCTCCTGATCACACTTGAACAAAAACAAAATCCTGGGAACATTCTGAAACATTCTGACTGTATTTTACATGTAGAAACATGTCAGGCAAATTCTCTCACTTTATATAACAATCCAAGTGAAATGAAGCCTAAAAGATGATGCTAATGATAGCGACACAGGATTAGGTAGAACTTCTTACCATTTTCAAATTGAAGGGCTTCAGCTGTCGAGAGCTACCTCAAAGATCTTCTGAGAGCTTCACTTTGTTTGTACAGAATGGTTAATATTGCTATCACCACCTACCCTCCATTTGAGCGCACTGGATTAACACTGTTCAGAAATTTGAAAATGTTCTTGTTCTGGCAATGGCACCATTCCCTACTTAATGGTGTAACAACCACCACTTCTCTTTCTCCTCCCCCTTCTACCACCTCTCCTTCCTGTTTGCTATTTCTTTGGATTAAGTAGGGGAGAAAAGTAGACATACAGTCTAGTTTTGCCAGTAGGAAGTCACATAGTGTTCAGTGGCCTGCATTTCTCACTGAACAGTCAGATCAGTTGGGATCTAGCTGCATAAACAGAAAGCCTTCTGGCTATTTTAAATACGAAGAAGTTTGATCTGATGATTTAAGTGTTTTGCAAACCCAATGGAGAGGCAGAAGAAGTAAACTCTAAACTGGGCAACCAGAAATCACTCTCAAAACAACATTGCAAAACTGGTCCGTCATGGCTTTCGTAGGTAATCTAGAAACTGGGAATCTGGAACTGGTGTTTTAAGTTGGCCCTACTGTCAAATTACCCTGGAGGTTCTGAAATCCACAGTAGCAACTCTTGTTAGAAACCCCTCTCCATAGCAATCATCTCATGATGACAAGCTGCTACCAGAATATTGGCTCCAAAACCGTGATGTGAATTCTAGATTAGTGCTGGCTAGGTGGTGCTTTGTGTGCTATCATTTCTTTGTAATTTGACTCTGAATTCAAATATACTGTGAATGTGCTAACAGAATGTAAATTACATTAATTATCCTTATTGCAGTAAAGACAGACATACAATTTCAGCTTGTTAGCTTTTGCATAACTGGTGTATCATCAAGAGAAAGAGGAACATGTGCCAATCAACTTAGTATATTTGCCACAAAACACACTACATGTTCATGGTTATGAACAAATTTTTAATCTTTTTAGCTATAAGAGTTTCTGAGGTAATTCACTCATTATTTTATAACTACCTACAAAACAGCATTTTGTCATTTCCTTTTGAATATTTTTTGATTTATCTTATCCTGATGCCTGGTTAACACATGCAGCTTTTTTATAGCTTCTCTTGTAGGACTCAGAGAAAGAACATACTAGCAAGCTTACTTTATAGATACATTAGGGACAAAGCTACTAGAACATGAAGGAAAGGATGTATTCATTTCTATGATTCTTCTCTGAATATACCTTATAAGGTAAAGGATTCTAGGATTATGTAATTCCTAGTAAAAGGGGTCCAAGCCACAGCCTGAAAGAGGATGCTTGAGAGACCTGGATGGATCTAAAAATTGTGACTATCTTATGAAAAAACCATTTATCACTCCAAAGGAAACTCTGTGTTTATTTTCAGTTACTCTGTATTTACTCTTTTGAGGACCTGGTATCCAATAGCCTATTTTCTGTTTATATTGTTTTTACAACTGTTTTCTTCTTCTTAGTGTGGTATTTTCAAAGTTCACCCATGTCATAGAGCATATTGGTATTTCATTGTGTTTCGTGTGTGAGTAATAATTCCATCGCACAAATACAGCACTTCTGGTGATGCACAGAGTAGTTGATAAACATTCAATTTGTAATTTTTGGTTTGATGATGCAATTAGCATTGTTATACGTGTTCTGTTTTCACTGTTTTGGGTACGTATCAGGAGTGGAATGGCTCAGTTATGTGACAGTGCTGCATTTAAGCTTTTGATGATTTGTCAGGATGTTTTTCAAAGTAGCTGTACCATTTTGCATTTTCATCAGCAATAACAGGGGTTTAATTTCTCTAAAAGCTTGCCAACACTTTTGTTGCTATCTTTATTTTGTATTACAATTATTTTAGTGAGTATGCAGTGATTTCTCATCTTAGAGTGCCCTAAGTCTGTAGTTACTGTCAGAATAAACTGAATTGCAGAATTCCCAGTTGGTATTTAGCAAGTTGAAGAATAGGTTGGCCTGGGGCAAAACTGAATACATATCATGTCAGAAATAGTATCGTGTCAGAAATAGCAGAGTATGGTGGCACATGTCTGTAATCTCACCCTTTGGGGAGGCTGAAACAGGAGTATCACAAGCATGACTCCAACCTGGGAAACTTAGCAATTTAGCAAGATCTTGTTTCAAAATAAAAAGGAACTAGAGAGGTAGCTCAGGGCAAAATCCCTGGGTCCAATAACCAGACACACATACACACACACACACACACACACACACACACACACACACACACACACTCACAAGCAAAAAGAAAGAAAAAGAAAAAAAGAAATGATATGGGTAAAAGAAAAACACTCAAGAAGAGCTAAAAAGTAAAATGCTGAAAAAAATATACTGGAGATCTTCACAAACTTGTGTAAGTAAAGAAAGAATCAGCAAACTTAAAGATGGGACAATTGCAATTATTAAGTTTGAGGAAGAAAATAAAAAGAACAAAAACGCCTAGGAAGTTGGACACTACTAAGTAGGCCAATACACACACTGTGGAAATCCTAGAAGGGAGAAAAGAGTACACAAAGAATATTTAAAGACATAATGGCTGAAAACTTCCTAAATTTGATTAAAAACACACACCTACAAACCTAAGACATCTAACAAACTCTAAATAGGATAAACTCAAAGAGATTCTTGCAGCCAGTAAGACAGAAACAAGTCATTACATGTAAGAGATCATTAACAATATTATGAGCCAGTTTCTCATTAGAAACATTGGATGCTAAATGGGAAGAGATTTATATATCTGAAATAGCAAAAGAAAGTAACTGTCAGCTTACAATTTTATATCTGGCAAGACTATGTTTCAAGAATGAAGGGGAAATTAATATATTCCAAGATAAAAAGAGGTAAGGGAGTTTGTTACTACTAGACCTACTCAACAAAATGTGCTCCTTTTGGTTTTTAACTCCTTTTTTCTAGATGATATAAAATGCAAATGCATAAAGCAATAACTATAAACCTTTGTTAGGGCCGGGGATATACCTTAGCGGCACAGCGCCTGCCTGGGAAGCGTGAGGTCCTGAGTTTGACTCCTGATACCAAAAAACCCCTTTGTTAATGGTCACACAATACATAGCAATGCATCTGTGACAATAACAATATAAAGATTATGGAGGTGAATAAGTGTTTAAATGGTATTGAATCTATGCTGGTGTTACTAAAGTAGAAGTTGATTTTAATCCTTAAGAGAACCACAAAGCAAAAATTTTTTTAAATACAGAAAAGGAAAGAAGAAAATAAAAATAGTATTCTACAAAAACCAATGGAATGAAAAAAAAAGCATAAATGGAAGAACTGAGGTACAAAAGCATATAAGAGGACTTGGGATATAGTTTATTGGAAAAGTGTTTGACTAGCATCTAAGAGGCCCTGGGTTTGATTCCCAGCATTACAAGAAAAAAAAAAAAGCATATGCATTTAGCATAGTCTTTCTTTGTTTGTTTCTTTTCTTTTTTTTTTTTTTTTGGTACTGGAAGTCAAACTTGCTTAATCTCTAATTAAAGTTAAAGTGATTTTTTTTTATTTTTTTGTTTGTTTGCTTGTGCTGGGGATCGAACTCGCGATCTCACACTTGACAGGCAGGTGCTTATGCCACTGAGCTAAATCCTCAGCCTAAAATGAATTTTATATTAGTATTGGGGATTGAACCTTCACAGTGAACTACATTACTATATATCCTCAGCCTCTTTTAATTTTTATTGAAACAGAGTCTTGGTAAGTTTCTAAGTTGTCTAGGTATGGCTCAAAATTGCAACCCTCTTGCCTCAGCCTCACAGAATACAAGGATTGCAGATATGTGCCATCTGACCAGCCCTCAGACCTTTGATAAGAGCATTAAACTCATTCACAAGCAAGGAGTCCTCAATGACCTAAACACTTTCCAAAATGCTCCATCTTTTAATATTGCTTGGAGATCAAGTTTTGACATAGGAATTTGGGAGGAATACAAATATTCAGACTATAGTACTATCATTTAGAAGATTTTTATAGTGGTTTTATTACATATGGATGATTGGTTTAATCAACTGGTGATTAATTCAACTTCCATCCCCCTCTCTTTCTCCAGACAATGGGGTAAGTAAGGCTGAACATTCCACTCCTCTAATCACGTGCTTGATGCTTCTAGAAACCAACCCTAACCTAAAGGTATCTAAGAACACTCCCTCTGCCAGGATTCATCTCACTAGCATATAAAATCATGATTGTCTTTTTATTGGCTTTTCATTTATATTTTTTGCTTTAATCCTACATAAGACGATGAATACTTTACATTTTTGGATACTTTCTATTTTAGGCTTTTTTTCCTCATGGTCCTGAGGACTGAACCCAGGATCTTAAGACAGTGAACACGTACTCTACCTCTGAGTTACACTCATAACCCCTGATAATTTTGTATTTAAATAAAGGCAAGAAGAGAAAAAAAGTTTCTAATGATGTAATTTTATCTCATAAAGGCAATTTTAAAATGTTACTACAATTTAGTCTTCTTCTCTAAAATTTATTCTATAAACACCAAAATTCTTGGTTTCATTCTTACAATACTTCTTCATTCAAAAATTCTTAAGCAAAATAAATCACTGTACCTATATGTTTCAATGGCTTTCATATCTTCTTCATCAAATTCATCTTCAGCCTCTTCTAACTGTGAAAGAGTCATCTTTTCATATGGTTTAACTATAATAACATAAATTATGGGCAATTGTTTAAAAGTTATTTTCACTTTACCATAAACATCTAAAAAGCCAAATATCTCTGATAAATGGAGATCAAGAAGAGCTTTAAACAAACCTGAAGCACTTAGCCACAATTTTAGTTTACATATTGGAGAAGCCAAACATTAAAGTTTTATGCTCATTCAAAGTTCACAGAACCAACTGAGTATATGTAAAGGTAGGTGTGAAAATTAATCAGACCCCATAAATTTAGATATCCTCCAAGTACCCTGAAATCTTGACAAATAATATATATTCTGTGGAATGACCAAAATGCAGGGAAATCACAAGGTAGAGGAATATAATGGGAAAAGAAATCTCATGAGGTTACATACCAGCATATTTCAGCTATTTCATTAAGTAGCATATGGTCTTTATATGTTAATTAGACACATCAGTCAATACCTCAATTGTGAACATATAGATGGTTTCTATTAAATAATCTCTGGTGTCTCCTTTGATGTTTGTAAAACACAGTATTGCTACCTAACTGCTCTATCACCTTTGTTAGCCCATAAATGTACAACTATACCCAGTGCTTCTTTCTGTAAGCGTAAAACCATTTCTTCAATTTCATCTTTTGGTTCTTCTTTTGGAGGAAGAATTCCAAAATCTCTTAAAATTTCATTCCATTCTGTATCTTCATTTGGGTCCTTCACAAAAAGAAAACAAAATCTATTGACATAGCTGTGGATTCTAATATGTACTTATAAAATTGATGATATGTAACACTTCCTAGTATGCAATTGTTCGTGAACTCTACAGATAATTAGGTTTAAAGAACAGAGCAAAGTGGTTTACTTTTTTACATTTCTCATCATTAATAGGAGTACATCTTTTATCCTTAATGTTATACTGAGTTTAATAAAAATCAATTTAGAGTACATGTATCAAGTATTAAGGAAGTAAACAGAAATCATGGAAAATTCACTGATTGTAGTTGCCAAAACCAATTCACAGCATGCACAAATATGCATTCCATGAGATTATAGCTTCTATTATCAGCCTGCTCATTTCCTGACTTTGACAAAGCAAGCTGCCATACCTCGATGTGTGTGTGACCAAGATTAAACATGAATTAACATCCTCAACCAAATCCTGCCAGCTACTATGTGATGATATGAATTTGTCCTGTTGTTATACATTCAAATGAGGCCCAGATTTAGCTATTGTACTTATTGTTACTAGCTATTACTCTAAGAAACTCTTAAAGATAATCTGGCTTTTAATTGTCTGGATTCAGCTAGAGTTTTCTTTGTCTATGGTTTTCTGTAGATTTGCCATAATGAATCAAGAGATATACAATGTATCTTTTTATTTATCCTGAATGAGCTCACTGGGCTTTTTGTAACTATAGAATAGTATCTTTTAATAGTTCTCGAAAATTTGCAGAAATTATCTCATCAAATATTTCTTAAACTCTTTCTACTATACTTCCTATTTCTAGTCTTCAGACCTAAAAAAAACCCCACCTACTTGATATTTAATTAACTTGTCTTTTTGACACAGGGTCTTGCTTGCAGTTCAAAATGCCTTGAGTTCACTTTGTAGCCTAGGCTGGTTTTGAATTTGCAACAGTCCTGCCTCAGCCTCCCAAATGCTGGGATTACAGACCACACCCGGCTAGGTATTTTAAATTATTTTTTGTTGCAGTTTTTAATTTTCACATGGTTTTTTTTGGCTATTTATATTTTATTGCACTGAAATGTATATAAAATGTATCATCTTAACTATATTTAAACATACAGTTTGGTGGCATTAAGTATATCTACAGTTATGCAACATTATTACTATTCTTTTCAGGTCCTCTTACATTGTATTACCGGCAGCTCGGGTCAACACTATGCCCCAAATCATGGAAGCCCATTGATTTTCATGAAAGGAAAAATGGCTTTATTCAAAACTAGCTTGGTGGAGATGGAGGAACCTCATATTGCCTCAAATCACCATGTCATTATGTCCATGTGTACAAGGGTATCTTACAGTAAGGAAGAGAGGAGGAGAATAAGATGATCAACAATGCCACATTTGTTCCATTCCTCTGTGAAAATGAAGCTGGACCCTGACTTGCTGGAAGCAGCAGCTATACATTCTGTCCGTTTATCAGAGCTAAGAGAGAGGTAGGTGGCCAGTGGTGGTTTACGATCTAGGCAGGAGAAAGTTTGGAGAAGCAACTGTCTCTAAATGAAAAGATTGTAACTTTCAAATATCAAATTCTTTCCTATTGGTTATTATCATTCTGTTTCAAGACTATTTTGACTATTGAGTTCCCTTGAGATTCCATAGGAGTTTTAAAATGGCTTTTTCCATGCCTACAAAAACATGTTTGTAGGGATTGCACTGAAATTGGTATTGCTGTTGGTGGTATTGACTTTTTGACAATAACAGCCTTCTAATCCACAAACATGGGATACATTTTGGGATTACTGACACATTTAACTTCTTTAAACAATGCTTTATAGCTTTGTGTATACAAGTTTTTGACCTCCATAGTTAAGCTTACTCCTCAGTACAGTATTTTATTCTTTTTGACTTTGCTATAATGGAATTATTTTCTTAATTGCCTTTCAGACTGTTCACTGTTACTGCATAGAAATGTCTTCATCAAAACTTTAATGCCAATTTTTATAGTCTTGTACTCTATATAGATATCTTAAACAGGTCTTTTAATAAAAGCATAATTACAGTTGCTTTTAGAACCTGTTTCTGGCTATTCTAACATGGTAATTCTGGAAGTCTGTGTTTTGTTTGCTTGCTTGCTTGCCTTTGTTTGTTTTTTGAGGCAGCATCTCTCTGGGTAGTCCAGGCTGGCACTGAACTTGCAATCTTTCTGCTTAGCCTTTAGATTACTGGGATTACCACATGCAACTGCAGTTCTGGTTTTTCTAGGTTCAGGGTTATAATGCCTTTTCTCCTTGTGTGCTTTGTTACTTTTGATTTCTGTTCTTTCTTCTTGAAAACCTGCTGATGGGAATTCCTTGACAGCTATGATAGAGAGGTCTTCCTCCTATGGCCTAAGATAGAGAGGCTTTATACTTATTTCTTGCATGCACTTGGGAACACTACAAAAGATAACCATTTTGTATCAGATTCACAGTTTGAGGTCTGTTGCCTCACTCAACAGTGTGCCTCAGGTTGCAAGTAATGTGAAAGTTGTCTTAAGTCAGCATTTCTTGAGGATTGCTTTTATTCTTGTCCATTAAGGATCAAGACAGTGTTTTCTAAATTCTCCAATGAGTCCTAGTTCACAATCCTACCCATTTCCCGTGTACTCCAACTTTGGTTTCTGCTCCAATATGCCTTCAAAATTGCTCTGCTAATGTTACCTACAAACTGTATGTTATTAATTCCATTGGATAGGCATTGCATTTGATCTCATAAGAGAATTTGAGGTTTTTTTTTTCTACAGTGGTCTTTCTTGACTTTCATGACACCATGTTTCTTACGAATGTATTCAAACTTCTTTGATTCATCTTTAGCAGATCCAGGAGTTGGTTGCAAAGAGATGTTATGTAACAATCAATGCTTTTTGCCAATCCCTTTACTTTTAGAAATTATGAAACTTTATCTAATGTAAGTAGGTGCCATAATGCATTTCCTCAAACTTTAATGGCATTTTTCTATGCCTAATTTTATCTCTTATTTTCCCAAAGTAAATTCTTCTATAATAGGCACGGGAGCTGATGGGACTGCTGATGAATCAATGAATAAATAATGGAATAAAGAAATTAATATGCTGCTGCTTTCACTCTGAGTTAAATTACTTTTTTGTTTTTTAAAGCAGAGTCTCACTATGTGAACTCATGTACAGCCCAGGCAGGTCTCAGATTTGGAGCAATCCTCCAGCCTCAGCCTCCCAAGTGTTGGGATCACAGACATGTGCACCAGATCCAGCTTAGTTGTCTTTTAGCTGAATTCAGGACAAATCTGCATTGTTTTTGTGCATCGTATAAAAAAATATACTTCCTAAGACTGTATGATTACTATGAAAAGATTATCTACTAAAATTAAAGGTAATTTATACATAAAAATATCCTAATAAATTGCATATACTAATACATTGGTATATTCAAATACCAAAATTAAATTTGTAAAGCAAAAAATTTCAGTGTTTTTAATTTGGGGGAGTGAGTGGAAAAAATTATTTAAGTCGGAAGGTGAGAGTTTCACTCTGCAAAAAAAGAGATAAAATAAAAGTACAGGTTTCTAGTTAATAAGGAAGTTGTAGGGTGTGAGGCCTTCTGAGAAATAAGCAGAAATTTAACAGAATTTTTGTGATCAAGTAGGAAAAACTCCAGGACAACCGCTTTTTCTTAAGATGTGTCATTACAAGGGTTAAAGTTTCTGTTGTGTTGTTGTTGTTGTTTGATATATTCTTAAGTCAGAAACAATGTGTCATAAAAAGAATTAAGATGTGTTATGTATATGGACCAACACCCCACGATGAATGCAGTCATAAGGTACTCCAAACACGTTTAAATAGTTTAAAAAAGAGTACCAGCAGTAGGATTACAAGTGATCAGGTGTGCAAGACTACACTAAACTCTGATTGCTTTAGCGACACACCAAAGTCTTGAAACTAAAAAAAAAAAAAATGGCCTTCGTCTAGAACTAATTCAAATTTCTCTCGAAAACAAATGGAATCACATGAAAATTTAGCACTGATCAAAAAGAAATGTTAGACTCCAGCCCTGTGGCCCACCTCCCTTTTTATGATGGTTAGCCCGGGGTCCAGCTAGGGACCTCGCCTCTGTTCCAGTGTTGCCCGGTGGACCACGACCTCACCTGCATGATGTTCTGTGCCACTCACACCCCTGTACGATTCCACCCCCACGAGGTACTGGAATCGGAGACTTGAAGCCTCCTACAGGTTGGAAGACGCCTCCGAAGGCCTAGCGGTTTCCAACGCCCACCGGGTGGGGGTTGGGAGGATATCTTTGGTGAGCTCCGTCGCCAGGCAACGCAAAGGTGTGGCCTAGGCGATGGCTTTGAGCATCTATCCCAAGTAGTGCCTTTCCTGTTCTCTGGTGGTGCTGAGGCTGGCATTCCTCAAACCCTTTCCTCTGCATTATCACCAAATCAACCAGTCCTTTCCAAGCCCCATAGATGCAGTAGTAAATTATTATTGAGGTGTTTTTCTATTGGAAAAGTAGATAAAATCTTTGTGGAGACCCAGGCGTTGAAGGGTGGAGGGATAAACTCCTGGAATGGAGAGTCTTTCAGATTTCTTAACCTGGAGTCCATAGCCCATATTTGGTTTGATTTTAGGGGATATGTAACTTTTGCCCTGGAGTTAAGGGTCAGACTCTTAAGTGGGTCTATAGGTTCTGCAACCCCATTTTAAAGACTCGCTGCCTTAGGAGACAGAAGGTGTGGTTTTAGGCAGGAGTTCTAGACACCTGGAGTCCTTGGTGTTGAGGAAGAAGACCTGAGAGCTGCTGGGAACCTTGGGAAGACACTGGGTATTATTCACATGGTTGTATACATGGTCCTAGACATACACTCATTGGGATTTGGAAAACAAGAAAGATTTGTTTTAATGACACAATTTTAAGTGAGTTTGACATTGGACCACTTAATCTGTAGTGCCTGATTGGTTAATACTAATTCTATACTCCTAATAGCTTATGTATTTTGTTATGCTTCTGTATTAGATGCTAACTTGTAAAATGTATATCAAACATGTACACTGCCCAGAAATGCAATTTTTATGACACCATGTTGGTATTTTTGCTGTTCTTCCCTTTCCTTTTTTTTTTTTTTTAATCCTAGGAACCTTAAAATGTGTAAGAAGCCTATGTGTTTCTGGATTTTCAAGAGGCCCTAGAAATTACTGGTCAACATTCAATGCTCTGTTTTTTTATTTTCAGAGTCAAAAATCCCCAGGCTACTTGAGTTACTGTACACAGAACCATCTAATGTTGCTCTGTGCATTCATGGGGTTAGAGAAAGGGCCTGCCCTACTTCCAAGACCCTATCTTGCCAAGGCAATTCTTTTTTTTATTTTGTACCAGGAATCAAATTCATGGTCTTGTGCTTGCCAGACAGGCATTGTGCCACTGAGCTACATCCCTGGCCTGGCAATTCATTTTTTAAAGAACAAAATTTAGGAGGCTGGGGATTTAGTTCAGTAGCATAAGTGCCTGCTTTGCGAGTGCATGGTTGTGAGTTGGATCCCTGGTACCAAAAAAAAAAAAAAAAAAAAAAAAAAAAGAAAGAGAAAAAGAATGAACATAAGAAAAAAAATTCTTATGTTCTTTCTACTGGTTGACAAGAAGTGAAATCCAATATCATTAGTCAAAATCAGAATAGATTACCTCATCTTTGTTAGATAATCAATGTTTAATGGCTAGTAGATATTAATTTAATAAAAAATGTACCTTTCTAATTAGCTAGCAACTTCCTTGGTGAAGAGAAGATCCATGAAAGAGATCAGAAGAAAAGCAGCCAGGAAAACGGGAAGGCAGTGGTGTGGAGGTGGTGGCGAGACTCAGCCTCCACCTGGCTTCATTTTATTAAACATTGATTTGCTGTAAAGGTTCACCAAATAGGTTTACGATTCTCTACTAATGTGATTGGTTTTCTTCCTGATAATGACAACATTGGCTGCCTTTCAGGTGTTGCAGGGTAAAACAACTTATTTTGAGTTAAACTGAATATTACAAGTTGGCAGGAAAAGCCCCTGATGTATGTGTACCATATTTTACAGTATATAAATTAGAAAGTACATATTAGGCAATTAGATGGGTTTTGAACAAAGCCTCCAGTGATACAGATTTAGCTGGTATTCAGGTTCTAAGAATAAAATATGTCTTGCATAAAACATGACATAAGTGTGTGTGTCATATCTGTCAATAGCTACAGACATCCAACAAACATCGTTATTTATAGTTTTAATATGCACTATCATTAGAATGCTAAGAAAAAGTACTTTAAGGTGCTTTTTATTTTCAACAGATTAAATGTTTGCAATCTGAACTAACTTTTTCTGAGAATGTTCACAACACAGGAATTTTCAACAGAGCAAACTTCAGGAGAATTGTTTTTGGGAAGAAAACAAAATTTTAGTACATTATGTATTGCATACATTGTTTCTGTGGAAAAGTAGTTGGTATCCTGTAAAAAAAAAAGAAAATTGAATTAGGTTCAAGTGTAAATGAGTACATATATTTATAGTTCTTATATAGACATTTCTAGAAATATTTTATCAGAGTGTAATAATATTGGCACTTGAGATATTTCCCAGCTGTTCTTCAGCCTGTATACTTTTAACATTTATCACTATTTCTCTAATGACATGCTTCTGTAGCATTACTATGTTTTACAAAAATTTACAGTATTTAATCATATAAAAGTGGTTTCCTAAAGTTCATTAATGCCCATATGATTTATGGATGCTTCAAAAGTCACAGTTACTCCTTGTATGTCTTTCCTTCCATAGAGTATCTCCAATTAAATCATTTTATGTGTAACCACTTTCTAAATAAATATAAGTCATCAGGATAGAGGAAGATCTTAGACAACCAGGTATCAAAAAGGAGGAAAAATTATTATTGAATTGCTTTTTCACACTAACAGTTTGATGTTAAAATCACGGATTTTGTAAGTGCTCATGTTAATCTGTAATACTATGAAAGAGAGTTTTTCCATTAACTGCTCTTAGTTACTTTTTAAAAAAGCATCTTTTCCTATGTTTCTCATATGGACATAATTTATCACATTTCTTTTAAAGTAGGAGTTAATGCTAAACACAGTTTAAAAATTCAAATTCTTGATCCTGATCCATGAGCATATTATATCTTTCCTTCATTTTTTCAATATGTCTATCCTTTATTTCTTCATCATCTAATTGCACTGGTGAATGCCTATTAGGCCATTTGATGAGCTAAAGTACATTAACCCAGCATAGTGGTGCATGCCTGTAATCCCAGCTACCTGGCCAGCGGAGTCAGAAGTATCGCAAGCTCCAGGACAGCCTAGACAAGTTAGTGAGGCCCTGTCAAAACAGACCAGTAGAGATGGTCCGTGGGTTCAATCCTGAGTCACACACACACCCACACACACACACACGCACACTCAACAGGCTGGCCTTCAGGATACACTCAATAAAAAACGAGGGTATACTTATTTTGTTCCAGACATAAGTAGGTATTCTTTGATGTGTTTCATTATCAAACCTGCTTCTAATTTACTTGGAAATCATTATATAATATCAAGAAAAAAATTCATCTCTTTCTCCAAGGATTTTTCTCTTAAAGGATTAGATATTGGTGTGGAATTTTTACCACACTCATCTATTAAGACTATCAGATACTTTTCTTTTAATGGTGGTATATTTTAATAGAGTTTAATGTCAGATCATCCTTGAACTGCCAGAACGAATTTCACTTAGTGGAGTCATGTCCTTAAACATAGTGATGCATACTACTTACTAATATATTCTGAAGATTTTGTCATTGATACTTATTAATAGGCTTAACATTCAGCTTCCATTTTATATTTTTGTTAGGGTTTGGTATTAATATTATGCTGACTTCATAAAAATATTTGAAGACTTCTTTTTTGAGCTAAAAAATTCAAAATCTATTGGCTTAGTATTTTCTAATGGGATGGTTTCTTGACAACAGTTTCAATTTTTTCTCTTACTATTAGTACATCTTGCTTTATTTCTTTCTGCTGAGGTCAATTTTGGTAGAACCTACCTTGCTAGACAATCTTCCACTGATCCCAGGTTTGTAATCACAATGCAGAGATGTGCAAAGCACTCTTTATTTTCATTTCTTCTTTATCATTTAATTTCCATCTTTTCATATGTATCTTTGTATATTTATAGTTTTACCATTTTTTCTAGATTGGACTAGGCAAAATATGCTAGCTTATTTTATTTTTTTCAAAAAATTAGATTTTTTTAAACCAGGTGTGGTGGCACATGCCTGGAATTCCAGCACTTGGGAGGCTGAGACAGGAGGATTACTACAAGTTGAAAGCCAGCCTGGACTACATAGTGAGTTTAAGGGCAGCCTGAACTACATAGTGAGACCCTATCTCAAAAAAACAAAACAAACAAATACAAATGAGCCATATTTTTGTTGTTTATTGTTTTTCTACCTTACTACTTTTTCCTTTATAAATTTTTTTTATTTTTATAACTTTCTTCCTGTTACCCTGTTGTTCTTTTTTTTTTTTGACTACTTAAGTAAAATTCTTAATTCATTGTCTTTTTTTTTTTTTTTTTTTTTTTTTTTAAAGATGAGAATGTCATTTATATGGCCCTGGCTGGCCTCAAACTTGAAACCCTCCTGGTCAGCTTTCTGAGTAACTGAGGCTACAGGCCATCACCCTTGGCAATTCATTACCTCTTTCTTGCTCAATTGAGGCCTTGAATTTTCCACTGAACAGGAATTTTACAAAGTCTCCTAAAATTTACTATGAAGTGTTTTTTATAATCCTACTTTCTAGATGTTGTATGTTTGGGTGTTATTGTCTTCTTTAGTTAGAAATGGTACATTTGATTTTGTTTCTTTGAAAAACTATTCAGAATTTTAACTTATTTTTCAGACAAGGTCTTAATATATAGTCTAGCGTGACTTCAAACTCATGATCTTTCTGCCTCCGCCTCCCCGCTGGATTATAGCTGTTTACCACCACATCTAGCAACAATTTTAATATTCTTAAGATAAATATATTTAAGGGTTGAGGTAATGAAATGAGTGAAATAGTTGCAAAAAATATATTCAAGATAGAATCTAGATTTAGAATACTTATTTAGTAGAATACAGTTTTATTTTGTGCTATTAATACAATAATCTAAATTTCAGTTTATTTTAAATTTGTAGCCTATTAAGTTAGTAGAATTAACATTTATTAAGCAATATGGGACCAGTGGCTATTGACTGGCACTGCATATTTAACAAATATGTCAATCTTAAAAGCTGTTAGCTACTAAACATATTCCCTTATACCCCGCTCTGAGGAGAAACTCTTCATGTAGCAAAATAGAAGTCATATTATTATGTCTTTCCTCAGTTTATTAATTCTCTAGAACTGTTAAGTCACTTGCTTTTATAAAGAATCTTCGAGTATGAGTTACTCAGAAGTCAGAAGTACACTCGCTCTGCAAGTCCTGATTCGTTATGGTGGACACTGACCACCAGAGTAGGAATGACTGTGCTCTGGTCTGAGGGCTTCTATAGCATAGCAAATATGGCCTTAAAACATTCGTGTTTTTCATCATGTGATGACCTCATTGCTCCTATAATTGCAGTATTTAAACAGAATATTAGCGTTCACATGCAATCAAATAATAAAATACACTGAACATAGTCTAATTTGTGCATATTTAAAAGCAACAGAAAATTTTAGGTTGAGTTGGACTGAGAAACACATATAATTTCATTTTTATATATCCATTACATATCACTTTTAAAAAACACGTACCATTTTAAATGAAGCCTGCTGACCTCCCATTGCGTGGCTAAAAAAGTTAAAAATAAATCAGTATAACTAGGAACATAGAATGTTGACATATCATAAGGATATAGAGAGGTGTTTCTTTAATGTACTCAGAATTACCTGAAGGACTTTTGACAATACAAAAATGCGACTACTGGACCCTATAGCTAGAGTTTCTAATTTAGTAAGTCTGAGATGGGCTCCCAAAATCTGTATTTCTAACAGGTTCTTAGGTGCTGCTAAATCTGTTGAGGACCACAACAAATGAGACATAATTTGATTTTGCTTATTTTCTTGATAGGCTCAAAAACATAAAAGAAATGTTTTCAAATTTAATTTGGTATCAACCAAAATTAACTTGATAAATCCACAGTCCATTAGTACCATTTTTTCCTTTTTCAATCATGTTTATTCACTATCTTCTCCAATTTCTGTTAGAATAATTTTCTAAAATGTAAGTCTCACCACATGCTTCCTGTGGAGCTCAACACAGAAAAGTTGAAAATTTTCAGCTAAATATTTTATCAACTGATTCCTATCAGTTCTTCAGTACTCATCCCATAAAAGCTTTTCCACACTTGCTCCATTCCTTAAGTGGTGTTTTGGGGACACTCCACAGGCCTCAGACTAAAGACGCATTTAATTTAGTATAGTCAGCCCTCTGCACCCAGTTAGAATGTGGCAAATCATCATTTTTGACCACCTCATTGTTCTTATAATTGCAGTATTTAGACAGCTTTTAGTATTCTCAGATTTTAGTATCCTTAGATTGTCATGGAACAAGCTTCCTTGGCTACCCGGCTGACTATATTTTGTGTTTATTTATCTGTTTCTTTTATTGGGCTAAAAAATTAAAGAGTATAGAAATTGAATCCTGTCTTTAATTCCCATTCATTTGTACCTAGGCAGCATCCAGTAAAGTATAGTAAATAATTGTTGAATAAGAAAATTAAAATTTTGTCCTAATTTATTAAGGATTCAAATATTTCATAAAGCCTAGCTGTCTTAGAAACATATTTCATACAAAACTTCGGCATAGAAAATAAGAAATGTAATCATAAACTTTTTCTACTTAAGGCTATAAGTAGAAATAAAGGCTATTATTATAGTTGATTCTTTTAAGGATTTGTGATGATAGTCATAACTTTCCCAAACTACTGAATCAAAAATTTAGTGACTGATCCCTTGGAATTTAAGAAATAAGAATACTTAAGACATTTATTTTCTATTTGTGGAAATTAAGCTGTCAAGTAGATAAATGTTACTTGCAGTGTTTATAAACATGAGCAGTGAATCAGAAGACATTGGAGATCCTGCAATATTGAAGCAATCAGACAGAGTAAACGTCAGACTTTAATGCTGGATGTCAAATATCTGCAGATATATTTCAGAATCTAATTGAAACTTGTGAGTTAATTAAATCTACAGTGAATTTTTCAAGTTTGATATCAGTTGATCAAAAAATATATACATGCTTACCCTGAACAAAAAATAACCTCTCCGTGGATTTGCAAAAGGTCTTCGGAACCCTTCCTGAAAGAGAAAAGGAGTGCATTACAAGCAACACCAAAAATAAGTGCAAATTCTTCTTAAGAGAATAGTGCAGCTCAGAGTTACCTTCAACTGTTATCACTGAACAAGCAAGGAGTCACGACTTTAGTAAATAATTCTTATCAGGAGAGAGTCACTGTATTTACACTTCAAAAATGTCAACTACTAGCAGTATCACTCAAATGCTGTATTTAAGAATACCAGTCTTATCAGTATGTCAGATTTTCTTTTCAGGAAGTTTGTCAGTTGTAAGTGTATTCATCAATAAATAAAGGATAAATATTATACAAAACTAGAGATAAACCAGAACTGTGTAAAAGCAAAATAATATGATATTCCCACAGTGATATAGATTGTAACAGAGGCACAGTTTTGATAAATTTTGTTTATCCACTGAAGACGTTTTCCTAAAATATTCATAGAAGGTAACAACAACAAGAAAATATTAATAAGAACAAATAATTATTTATAATGGATGTATCATATAGTGGTTTTTTTACTTAAACATTTCATTTTTAACTTCATGGAAAGCATATTGTACATTTTGGTTTCCACAAAATTGATTTTTAGCTTCCCACTTCAAAACCTATCATAATGATCATGAAATCTATCAATCGACTTTTTCATTTTATAAGATAAATATAGTCATATTCTTAAACTCTAAAAAATATCTCTAGTATCTATTTAAATTCTTGATTTACAACAAATATATCTTAAATTCTCATTATTTTATTTATTTTCATCATTATTATAAGCCCTAAACTACTTAAGAACAAAAAACCAGCATTTAAAATTATAAGCATAGAAATTATGTTCAGATGTCTATATAAGAAAAATTCTCATGTACGTCACATGAAACAGAAAAGAAAAAAAGTAGAAAATAAAATTACTGAATATTTTAAAATTTCAAATGCAAAGCCCAAACACATACAGGTTTTACCAGAGTCTTATCATTGGAAATAGAGTCCAATATATGAAAGAATGTGAATAGAGATAAAAATATGTTGGATAAAGTAGAAGACATATAACAAACAAAATTCAAGAAGAAAATTTAAATGTACTAAGATTCAGAAATCTATTTTCCTCGAGAATGCAAGATCCTTTACTGTCAGGGTGACTCAGTCCTACCACAGCTAACAAGCTGTTGCTTCTCGCTCACCTCTGATATGCTCTCCCCATCTCCTCCCCTGCCTTTCTCTTTCAGTATTAGATATTGAACCCAGGGCACTCTATCACTGAACTACGTCCCAGCCATTTTTATATTTTATTTTGAGGCAGGGTCTTACTAAATTGTCTGGGCTGATCTGGAATTTTTGATCTTCTTGGCCCCGTCTCCCAAGCATGGGGATTATAGGGGTGCGCAACCACATCTGGTTCTTATATTCTGTTGTCTCATAGGTTTCCAAGAGTCTTGATTTTCTACAAAAGAGGCATGAGGATCTCAATTTCAAGGCCAGCCTGGACAACTTAGCAAGTCTTGTCTCAAAATTTTAAAAAAGACTGATGATGTAGTACTTAACATAACGAGTATGGGGCTCTGGGCTCAATACCCAGTTCTGTTTAAAAAAAAAAAAAGATTTTTAGGGTTTATCATTTGTCTTCACAGTATACTACTAAGTTATAGCTCATGTTTTTGGCTAATGGTCTGCTGGTATATATGGTCTCACTAAAAGTAGAAAATTTACACACCATATTAAACATCACAACACTGAGCGATTATTTTTGAATACATAAGTGACAACACTGAAATACTGTAGTCAAACTAACACTCATTACTGTACTTTGAGAATCCAGATCTTTAAAATGAAATTATGTATTATTCATAAGCCAAGAGAACATTTTAAGAAGTAAAAATTAATTCAAAAAAGCATATATTGGCGGGTATGGTGGCACACACTTGTGATCCCAGTGCTCTGGGAAGGTGAGGAAAGAGGACTGGAAATTGGTGCCCAGCGTTGGGGAATTCTGTTTCAAAATAAAAACTAAAAGGGGCAGCACAGGTAGTTTAGCTTAAAGGTCTTGGGTTCAATCCCCAGTAAAAAAAAAGTTTGCTAACACCTGACTTTTTAAAATTTCATTTTGGAAGTTTTAAATTTTTAGAGAAATACTACATTTGTTATGCTTCTTTTTAAAATTGGCAGCAGATACTGTCTTTGTGAAGAATCTAGGGAAGAAATAGTGACCATAAAAATAAATATACTTAAACAGTATGCATTTTTTAAAAGCAGTTGAAGATTCTAAGTAGTAATTTAAGAAGAATAAGACAGTATTGAAGTTAAGGAAAAATCCGGCTTGAATGCAACCTTTAATAATAGTCTAAAATTTAGCAATAAAACAAAAGTATTCAAGATTAATCTGTAATGAGAATATCAGAGTGAGAAAACATTTGCATAGATTATGTGTCAGGTGACTGTGCTGTGACCTCTTTTTCTAGTCTCATTTTGAGAAACTCCTTTAACTATTTTGAGCTGTCTTCTCTTCTGTAAACTTGAGATAATTTATACTCTAGGTGTGTAAGTACAAACAGAGCTCCTAGTAGAGTAAAACAAGGTAATATGAGACTGAAAACTGCACTGTTGCCAGGTAAGGCATCCTTTAGAATATTACCTGCTAGAAGCTCTCAGCATCCTAAGCATTATTATTCTTCTTAAAAGACAATGCAAAACTTTACAATTTCTAGTTAAGAGGGCATTAACTCAGTTATATTTATGTTACACATAGGTACTGAGTTTAGGTCCTATTTTTAATTGTGGAAAAAACAAAGCATTTGCACTTAGTTTCTGACACACGCCTCATCCTTACCAGTACTTTAACCCTTGAACAAAAAGTGTGTCCTAGCTGGTTCCCAACACCAATAAAAAAAGGCAGCAAACTTTGTTCTCCTCTTCCTACCTAGAGACTAGACATCTTGTACTGTCCTTTCTTAAATTGAGCAGGTTTTCTCGCTGGGCAGTCATGCAGGGAAGTGCAATCCCAGCTTTCTAGCTTTCCAGGGCTGCAGTTGGAGGAACAGGACACAAGGGACATGAAGGGCTGAACACTTTTCTTCCTGAGCATGACAACACTGCTGCACACCTATGCTCCTGACACTGGCTCGTCGCAGGTCCTCCAAAGCAAAGTTCTTTGTTAACTGTCACCAGTGGGAGTCAGGGGAAAGGCTGCCCACACAGAGAGAGAGGCAAAGCAATCATGCAGTTTGTATTACATACGTCCTCTGGGAATCTCTTCATTCTTCTCTCATGCAGTTGCGGGACAAGCTGCAGCAACGGATGCACGACAGACGACTGAGAGGACATGAACACACACACCATGAGCCCAGGACTTCTCGGCATTGGCCAGAAAGACGCTCCCCGTCTTGTATTTAAGCCCACTCTATTTGCCCCAGACAAAAGCTAGCCCTTGGTAAGCACCTCAGGGAACAGGAAGGGGTGAGTAAAACCTGCTAGCCTATGCTGAGGTTTCTGCCAGCATTTGAAGAAACACTTTCCCAAAGGCCTCAGCTCTGTCGTCAGATGCCAACAAGTGAAACCCTGCACTGCATCTTTGGGAGTCAGAAAAGCCATCTGCGAGCTTCTAGACTACTCAAAATAATTCACTTCAGATGCAGCCAATGTGTGAGCATCAGCTTTCCATCATGAGCATCTTTCTACAGAAGATCAGGGTATGCACATATCTAGTTAATCGCCTTTTAAAGTTGTATATTTAAAACTGAAGCATACGGAGAAAGACAACAGGGAACACCAAAATGTGAGTAAGATACATTTTTCTCAAAATGCAAAGATACTGAGCAGAAGAAAATGGAGCATGCTTGAGACATGAACCTAAGATACGGATTAAACTCAGCCTTCTCACACATGTTAAATTCATTCACGGAACGGCTTACTTTGAGCCCTGTATAATGGTTATCTGTTCACAAATGTAATTTGTATTTGGTATATAGCCAGTTTAACCTGACTTTAACTCCTCATGTGTAAGAATGTTTCATGTGATAAACATTTAAAGCTGAATTTAAGTTCACCTTTCCATAGGGACACACATGTCAAAAATACATCACGCTCCATGTTCCTTAAATTGGTTTGTAGTAGTGAATCACAGCTTAGAAAGAACACTGAATGCATATTTACTAAGCATTCTAGATTGAAACAACAAAGTACACCAGATAGCTTCTTTCTTCCAGTGCTGGGATGGAACCCGGGGCCTCACTCATACTAGGCAAATGCTATGCCACTAAGCTATACCCTCAGTCCTATCTAGCATTTAACACACACACACACACACACACACACACACACACACACACACACACTATGACTAAAACCAGATGAGTTTAAGGTTAATCTTAGTAATCTGGTTAATCTTAGTAAATTCTCATATTAAATTCCTAATTACTGATAAGGAATTAGGATTTTAGAAATAGAAGAGGATATTTTTAGTTAGATTTAAATTTTTGATAATCATGTTTTAAAACAATTCTTAAAGCACTTTTGAATAAAATTACTTTTTCTTGCACTAATTGCCATCCAAAACAATGTGTTTTACTTTTTTACTTGCTTTTGTTTGTTTGTTTGCCTTATAATGTCAACTTAACAAAGACAGGGGTTTCTTTTTAAAATTTTATTTTATTCACTGCCATTTCTAGTACTTAGAATTGTGCTTCGCACATAGTAGATATAGCAAATAATTGTGGAATGATTTAATTTCATGTACATGTAGTTATTAACACATAAAATAAGTAAATAGTAATACTGATTTCCATTTACCTATATATACACTTCTAATGTAAAAACATTTGAATTTTGATCTAACTGTATTAAACAGATATTTAAAGTAAATACTAGTGATACTAGTAAATAGTTTACAACTTACCATAACATTTGAATTGCCCAGCTTCTGTGTCTTCGAATAATGAAATAAAAACTGTTACGAAAGAGGAAGGGAGTTACACCATAAAGGATTAGTAGCTTCTTTTAATATTTTAATGTATAGATTTATAAAAATCATCTTACCCTTTTAGTATTATCTTTTTCATCTTGTTCCTATTGAAAAAATACATATATCACATATTATATACTATAAAATTATTGTGTAGTTTAAAATTTATTAGGTATTATAAAACTGTATCATGTAATTTTGTAAAAACATGATATATTCATAGAAAATTAAAGGCTAAAATTGGTTAAGAGTTTCTCTAAAAATTAGTAGGAAATTATATATAAATAAATACTAAGTATATATGCAATCCTTACTATATTATTAATAAGAATAAAAATTTGGAAATGTTTTAAATGTTCAACAGTGATAGAATGGGAAATTAAAGTATAAACAATTGATAGAATATCTAGAGAAAAAGACAGTGAATCAGATCAAAATATTTGTAATGGTTATCTCTATACAATAAGATTATGAGTGATTTTTGCTTTCTTCTTTAAGTTTTTCTATATTTTCTTCTTCCAAATACCAGTTTTTGTAAGAGTAGATTATCTGTTTTTTGTTGTTACTCTTTCTTGTTCTAAACCACTCTTTAGTATGGTAATTTGAAAATAAGTTTATCCAAAAAGTACCAAAATGACGAATACATAGTAAGAGGTGGTGCTTATGCAATTATTCAAGTTGCCATTTATCTTTGTCTAGAACAAAATTTTTCAGAAGAATCAAATGAATAAGAAACCAAATATAAAAGCAACAATATAATTTTCAAAATTGATCAGCAATACAGTGTGTTGCCTTATTTAGACCCATAGCCTCACACATGCTAAGCAAGTGCTTGACCAGAGTTAAACTCCAAGCTGTTTTCACATTTTTTTTTTTTACCGGTACCAGGGATCAAACTCACAACCACGTGCTTGCAAGGGAGGCGCTTATGCCACTGAGCTAAATCCCCAGCCCCTGTTTTCACATTCTTAATGTCTTACTCTGACAAAGCATAGTGTCCTAACCTCCAAGGCATAAGACATACTTAGTAGCTTAGAAAGACACATGTGGTCTCCAACTGTGGTATGAATCAGGAAGAAAAATATAGCCAAGATGACCACAAATTCCTCCCGTCAGACTGAGACTGAACACATTTTATACTTGAAGGAGACTTATGATTTCCCCTTATGATGATGATAATTTAGGGTCATATGAACATAAACTCCATTCATATGACCCTAAATTATCAGATATTAGAGAACCTGAAGCATTTGTTTTTTATCCAAAAGTCATTGCATTGTCTTTTAGTTCTTCTCGACATGTCTTCCAGGTGGAGTATTTTTTTCTTCCAGGAGAAATTCCAAGAAGTTTTATGAGATTTTTTTTTTTGGTCTACAAACAAAATACTATTTCAGCCTTACCTGAGGCTTTGGCAGAATCCTCATCACCATAGAGCAAAGCTCCCTCAGTGCAGTGGATGCCTAATAAAAACAGGAAGATATATGACTGTGGTCTTCTTGCACAGTGTCTGCATAGAAGACGTAACTTTGAATGTGAGGAGCACAGACTCTTCCAGCCACCCAGGAAAGAACCCTTTCTGTGGCCCACTGTGGCCCACTGAGCCTGTGCTGGAACCCCTTTCTCTCATAACAAAACATGGCTGCTAGGAAGTAAAACCTTTCTTGCAACTAGGGGGAAAAAGCTATGTACTATACACATGTGCACTGATTAAGGCTTCCACTGTGGTCCAGTTACATAGTTCTCAGCACTTGCTAAGATATCCTAAAACTCTATGACTAAGAGTAACCAGGGCAGTGCCAAATAGGGATTAGTCTTTCCAGCTTGTAGACTACTGCATCTACACGCCAAAGCCATGAGCCTGGCAGAATATTACTCATTATTGGCTAATTTGAAAATCCTACAATTGCTCCCAAACAATAGGAAATGGAGGAGAAGTCGTCATGCACGGTGTTCCCAATCTGAGTACCACCCTTTCAGCTTGCTGACTGCACACCCCAGGATCAGGTTTGTCAAAGCATTTGAGCACAGAAGTAGGGCACGGCTCCCTGTGGTTAGCAGACCGCTGGGTGTGGTGAGGAGCAGCACAAAAGGACAAGCAGAGGCAAAACCTGCCTTGCACAGGATCTAGCCAGCAGTACCACGGTTGATCCTGGGAGTCATGAAGAGCAGGGACAGGAACAGGGATAGGGCCAGGGCCAGGGGACAGGATTAGTGGTTCAAAGTATGGGCTATGGTGGCAGGCAGCCTGCGACTGTATGGCACAGCAAATTCCATTTCCACTTTTTCTAGCTGTGTTACCATGGGCAGGTGACCTACTATCTCTAAACTTTAGCTTCTTCAGCCAGAAATCAGGGGTGACATCACTGCAGGGTGTTCTTGGAAGAACTACAGGCGGGTAAAGTTCTTCAGTTTGATTGACAGCTGCATGTACTCTTAATTTAGAAGATTCATGAAGGCCTTATCCTACCCTTTGAAAACCAGTGCATGCTTAATGTGGCTGGCTGGGCAAGAGACACAGTTGGATTCCTGACCCTGTGGCTCTGTGCCCTTCCTAACATCAGAGGTCTGCTTTCTGTTTTCTTCCTTCCATTTTTGTCTGCCCAGGATGTAAATTGTTGGGATGTTTATTAACACCAGATAGCTTATCTTTATATGGTGTTTCAGTAAGTTACAAAAAGGTTTCATGTACCTACTTTACATTCTGCCCTTAAAACACAAGCATCGAGACACAAACAGGACAAGAATTACTGCTCATGCATAGAGGAAGCAAGGTTCTAAGGGATTGTCATTTGTCCAGTACCACACAAGGCTAGTGTTTAGGATCTGAATCTTAGGCCACACTAGCATTGCCTGTTAAGCCTGTAGTTGAGAACTGACTCTGTGTGTGTGCGTGTGTGTGTGTGTGTGTGTGTGTGTGTTAGTAGAGATTAAAACCAGAGCCTATACACTAAGCTACATTTCCTGCTCTTCAAAAAAAATTTTTGATAAGTTCTTATTTAGTCATGGGTTCAAATTTGACATTTCTCCTGTCTCAGCCTCCCACAGAGCTAAGATTATGGAGTGCACCAGCTGACTTTTTTTTTGGCAGTGCTGTGGATTGGACCAGGTTTTCACACATGCTAGGCAAGCACTCTAGCACTGAGCTACACTCCCAGTCCATGCAGCCTGGAAATGAACAAGAAAATATAGCGTGTGAGCACTGATGTATCCTTTTCACTTGTTTTCCTTAAGGTCAGCTGATAAAAATCTTTAAATAAAATCACCAAAGCTCTTTTTATGGCCCAAGTAGAAATGCTACAAAATATACAGCAATAAAAACAAAATATTTGATCACTTCACTTACCAATGACACATTCCAATTTGAAGAATAAATTTACATATATAAAGCTGAATGATGCTTGGCAATTATATTGAATTGGGACAAATTTTGAATCAAATATATTTTCTCTAGTTCCTTTTTGTAAGAAGCTATTATTTTCAATAATTCTTTAAAGGTTTTTCATACATGGAATTTTAATGTTTTATTTGTATTTGTTGGTTTCAAAGATCCATTATTTTTTATTTAGAAGAAATATTTTAAAATACTGTTCAGATAATCACATAAACAATAAATCATTTTCACGTTATTATATTACAATTTGTGTTATAAGTATATGAGTCAAGCATTAAATTTACTAAGCTCTTAAAAGTTACACAGAAAAATGGTTTAAATGAGTGCTTTAAAATTCACTCTCATTTTATATTCTGAAGATATAAAAATGGCTCTGACGATGATCCTGAATTTTAAATACCACATTGTTGTGCTGTTGCTTATGTGCTGACGTCCATCTCTTGTTATCTGTCAACACTCCTCGAGTAATCTGAAATAGTGTTTCACAATGTTATTAGCTGGGCCCCTGGTCTTGCTTTACCACCTAACCCTCTAGCTTCCTGCAGGGAATCATCTACAGCCTGGAGGATGGGTTGAGGCAGGTGAAATATAGTACTATGTACAGAAGGCTGAGTTGCATCCCAGCCTGGGCGACCTTCTAGAAGGACCGTTGAGACTGACAGGTAGCGTGGGTTCCTGGGCAGACTGTGGAGGATCATGCACCAGGCTTTCTCCAGGAGGTGAGGGGCACTGATTAAGAAACTCAAGACAATAAGACTAACTCAGCTCTCCCTGCACTCACACATGGATCTGCAGCATTCAGAAAAAACAGTGTAAGGAGAAGACCTCTATTCCCACTCACGTGGGACTAGTACTCCTGGCCTCTTTTGCAGCATTCCAGTGGAAAGAGGAGTGAGCTGTCCAGTGGGTGAACTGCGAGGGGAAACTGCAGGGCAGTTCAGCCTTCCAGTCGCCAGAAGCCAGCGCTCTGGGCAGCTTGTCTGGTGTCTGCCCTGTGCTTGGGAACCTGATGTGCAACTGCTGAGAGCCATGGTCAATGGGGCATTTGCTCTAAAGCCACATTTGAATTGATGTTTTAGTCAAAATGATGATACTTTGATTGCCTTAAGTTTATTTACATGTTTAAAACTCAAGTGGAAGACAAGATATTAACCCCCAGGTTCAGCAAAGGATATAATATTTTAAATGTGTGCACAATTTGATTTTGAAATTAGAATTTTAATTTGGCATTCTACAATTTCCAAAATATGTGTACATTATTTTTATTTTATTTAGAGATAAAAGCTCTAGCATTTTAAAACACAAGCCACTAGTATTAATTATTACCTGCGGAGTATATAATAATATCCAATATGTTGACACATTTCAATAAGTTCATACAGGTCCAAAGGGACAAATGAAAATTTTCAACACGACACAAACACATTGTTACAAATTTCTCCAACTGAAATTACCTGAGGCTGAGACTCAATGGATAGAAAGGATGAACAAGCATCATTCATCTGAAAAAAAAACAAAAATGTCATTTAGTTTCTGGAAATGATAGAAAAGATTTTTACTGTCACCTATGACAGTAATCAAACTTCCATGACAGGTTAGGACTCTGGATTTGACAGAGAGGAGACCCTAAACTTTTTAAGGAAGTTCTGGAATTGGAATTTGTCTGTGCTAGAAATAGGACTCTATGTCTCCAGTAACAGTTGATACGGGACTGGGGATGTAGCTTAGCAGCACAGTGCCCCAGTGCCTGCCTGGCAAGCATGAGGTTGTGAGTTCGATCGTCAGTACAAAGAAAAATAAATAAAGGAGGGGGGGATCAAAGACATCTCAAGGTTGAAAGCAAAAATTTCTGTTATTATTTAGTCTGAGAAATGTAGGAAGAGAATGGCTTTGTGTGTAGTTTCTTATGACACACAAATCTAATGTCACCTAACTTAAGATCCTTGTATGCTATATAGCATATAAGAAAAAATAAGACAACATAAGTAATAAGCAATCACTGCTTCTCTGCTGTGGGACAAGCATTGGATAAGGGTTCTATTTTATAATGAATATTTATTGAACTATGGCCAGCAATTAGCTGTTCTCAATCTTCATCCCACGGAGAAAATTTCAGAGACTTTCAACTGTAGTGTAAGAGATTTGTATCAATAATAAAAAATCCTTTGCTGAGAAGTTGAGAGAAATGAACTGGATTCATGGAGTCATTTATGGCATTTATTGCTTTGGTGACCTTTTAAAATGGGACTTGAAAAATGATGATCCTGTGTGTCCGGAGTGATTTAGGTTGAGTCTTGTTTATGACACAAGCTCTCAGAGGCCCCGTCCAGTTCCAGAATTCTTTGTTAAACTATTTTGTTTAATTTGTATTCTCACACCAAACTAAAGAGAGAGGGTTTTTAAAAATACTTTTAGGGCCTAATTTCTCAAGCTCCCTTATGACTTCCAAATTGACCATGGAGGTCAGCTGTGGGGGTGCACGTCTGTAATCGTAGCATTTGGAAGCTGAAGCACAAGGATCACGGGAAGTCTGAGGCTGGCAGGGGCTACCAAGTGAGTTCAAGGCCAGCTGAACTTCATAGTGAGACCCTGTCTCAAAGAGACAACAACAGCAACAAAACTGGCAGCCAAGTTGACCACATCCTAAAAACAACGGCTCTTTAATTTGAAGAATTACAGAAATATGACATGACAGAAAAGCATAAGATTAGGTTTTCCTCCTTTTTATCCCTACAGACGTTGTTATCTTCTCTGTGCATTACAAATACTTGGGGAATATTTGGATAGTCCACTAATTCCTCATTTCTGTCTACCTGCTCCTTTCTCTACGTAATACAGACACAAAATCATGGACACAAGGACACACACACTGATAAACTTCTTGGAGCCGGGGGACTGTTATACAGCACTCACCCAGAACAAGCATCAATACAATTCTTTAATTAAATTGAATTGAATTTGTGCAAAATTTTAAAAAATAATGTTAAGAGAAAAAAGGGGCAAGCAAAAAAGATGCCTCCCTCCCCCACATTTTTTAGTACTGGGGATTGATCCCAGGGCCACTCTACGGCTGAGTTATACCTCAGCCCTTTTTATTTTGATGATGATCTTGAGACAGTCTTGCTAAGTTGCCCGGGGTAGCCTCAAACATGTGATCCTCTCATTTCAGTCTCTCAAACAGCAGGGATCAAAAAATATGCCATTTTAAACTCTGGATTTTGACCAGTATTTGCTACATTTGCACCAACTATGTGGTCTCTTTTGCACAGGATAGGATTCCTGAAATATTAAGGAATGTAGTTAGCTGAAGACACTATAGTCTCAAGGAGAATCTATCCTCCTGTGAACCAGGCCTGTGTCCAAAAACACAGACCCATTGACCTCAGTTAGTGCATCAACATTGTTTGAAGAAAAACATTAGAATTTTTACAACCTAATTAATAAAATAGGAGTCTATTGCAAAGCTCTGCCATCTTTTTTCTCATGCCTTTTAAAGGCACAGCTCACCTGCTTTCCGTTTGAGTAAGCATTTGTTCACTTTACTCAGCTTACAGCTGATGGTTTTGAGCATCACTAGTTGTTTTTTGAGATCTCTGTGTGGGGCATTGGTGAATCTATTTGAAAATGGCTTGGTATTTGTATATGGCTGGAAAAGTTTGTGTTGTTAGTGTTTGAGGAACTCTGTAATTTTTCAGATCTTTGGGTTACAGAAATGCAAATTTTGTTTTTAGCATCTTCCTTAAGTATTTTTTCAGTAAAAACATTTATAGTGCTTTTACAGCTGAGTTTCCTTCCAGAATTATCATCTAAAATACTTTTCCACAGAAACAGATGATTTCAAGTTGAAATAAATATTATCTGTATTATTCATTAACATCTGCTGTCTCAATTGCTTTTCATCTTGTATTATATTTCTGCCGTGTACCAAAATAGAGCTCTTTTTTTTTCTGTCGGTACCGGGGATTGAACTCACGACTGCCTGCTTGCAAGGCAGGTGCTTAGGCCACTAAGCTAAATCCCCAGCCCCTAGACTTTGTATCTGTCCATACTATTAGAGTGTTTAGTACCTGGGACTAGTAACTGAAATTGTCTTTTCCCTTATATTGGCAGTAACCTGGGTGCAAAGAGTATTTCAGTTCATAGCAGATTATCATCATTAGCCTTTATTTATTTTTTCAATATTTCCATCCCATCGCATTCCATCTTTCCATAGGCAACTCTTCCAATGCATTTTCTCCCCATATATCCACCTTTTGTATGTATTCTTGTCAAATCTGTTCTGTATCTATCAAATGTATCATTTTTCCCCCACTTAACACTGGAGATCTATCCATGGTCCTGGGTGTACACCTAGTATGTTACTTCCAGCTGCTATCCAGTCCTGTGTTACATGCATCCATTGTACTCTCTAGTGATGGACAGCTGCGATCTCATCTGTTCTTTCCATTACAAACAAATTTTCAGTCAGCTTCCTTGCACAATAGTTATGTTTTCTGCATGTAGATAATTGGGCTCTACAATCAGAAAAGGCAACATCAGATCTTTGAGAGATAGAGGCTGCTTTCCAGATGGTTCCACAAGTTGACACTCAGCAGCGCATAAGACATGGTATAGCCCACATCCTTGCTAATGTTTGCCATGAAGTAGATTTCTATTTTTTCCCAGTCTGTTTGGTAGGAAATGATGTTTTTCTCCTAATTTTCATTTGCTTGTTACAATGAATTTGAACATATCTTTGGATGCTTGTTGGACTTCCTCTTTTTTAAACTGTTGTCATCTTTTTTATTTTAAAGAGATTAAAAGAAAACAAAACAATAAAAATGATATAGGATTTCAAAACAAGATGACAGTAAATTAATAATGATTGCTCTACTGCATATTGTTATCTTTGAAATAGTTGCTCAGATTATAAATTGTTATATTTTGATCATTTTTATTTTGGCATCTATCTCTGCCCATTAGATTTGATGGAGAGTTTTAAATATTCTTTATTTATATATTCTATGTTTAACAGTTTTAAATAGTATCACTATCTTTCAAAGGTTTTCATATTTCTCCAGAATCCTTTGTTAAAGAAATTTTTACTCCTTTTTTCCTTGTAGTTCTGGGAGTTGAATCCAGGATCTCATGCATACTAGACATAACCTTTAACCTTTACTCTTAAAGTAATTCATCTATTAAAATTTTGGTTTTATGTTTTATTTCTTTTTAGTTTTTGTTTTATGTTTTATGTATTATTTATTGGTACTTTTAGATATACATAATGACCACATTCTTCATAAAGAATTTGTAACAATACATATTATATCTTAATTTTTCTTTTTCTCTGTTCCCCTATCTTCTCTTCAACTTCATATAAAGCTTTGTTTCCATCTTTTCTTCCTTTCTAATTTTTACATTTTTTCTTCTTTCCTTTCTTCCTCCCCCTCCCTCTTTCCCCTTCCCATTTGAACATTTTCTTCCTACTTCATAATATCTAATACATACTTTGGTCCTTATTTACACTTTTGGTTTGTCACACCAGCAAAATGATGTGATATTTACATGTGCATGTTCTGTTTATTTCACTTAAGAGTGTAGTTTGCCTAGAAATGTCTCAAGTATATTCTTCTTTAAGGCTGAGTGGTATTCCACTGTATAAGCCAACCACATCCTTTTTTTTTTTTTTTTTTGGCTTTTTCGTTTTTATTGGTACCGGGGATCGAACTCACGACTGCCTGCTTCCAAGGCAGGTGCTTATGCCTCTGAGCTAAACCTCCAGCCCCTAACCACATCCTTTTTATCCATTCTTTGGTTGATGGACATTTGGGCAGTTTCCAAGATATAGCGATCATGAACTGCACTGCTATGAACATGGGTACACATATATTGCTGTGATACAATGTTTTTAATTCTTTTGAGAAGATATCAAGAAGGGGAATAGCTAGGTCAAGTGGAACCTCATAGTTTTATGAGGATTTCCACAGTGGTTGCACCAGTCTACACTCCCACCAACAGTGAATAATATTCTTTTTCCCTCACAGCCTCTCTAGCATTTGTTTTAGGTTGATTTCTTGATAATTACCATTCTTTCTGGAATGAGATGAAATTTTAGTGTTGTTTTAATTTGTGTCTCTCAAACGATCAGTGATATTAAACATTTTTTCATAGATTTACTTGCTGTTTATACTTCTTCATCTGAGAAATGTCTATTGATTTCAGATGCCCATTTTTTGATTGGGCCTTTAAATTTAGAAATTATGATCTTTTTGAGTTCTTTATGTATTCTAGATATTAGTCCTTTGTCTGAGGAACAGCTATCAGGCATTTTTCCCACTCTGTGGGTTGTGTCTTTACAATGTTGATTATTTCTTTTGCTGTTCAAAAGCCTTTTAAATCAGATGAGATCCCAGTTGTTGATTCTTTGTGATAGTTCCTGTGCAGTTGGAGTTTTGTTCATAAAGTCTTTTCCTAGAGCTTCAAGAGTTCTTCCCATTTGCTCCTCCAGAAGACTTAGTATTTC